CCACTCACACCACTGGTCCTGAAGGGATCATCCGCCCTGGATTCCCTGTGTTTCCAGTTCCTATCTGTACCAGTGCACATCCTCTGGTCTAGCCAGATCTGTAAGGTAGAATTGAGATCATGATAGTGAGGCGGGGGGCATACAACTAGAGGAAAGTTGTATGTCTCATCATTGCTACACTGCACCCTGACTGGCTCGACCCTTCTGTAAGGGGATGTCCAGTGGCCTACAGATGGGTTTTGGTTCTCCACTCCGCACTCCCCCTCATTCACAATGATATGATTTTTTGTTCTTTGATGCCTGATACCTGATCCCCTCGACACCTCACCACTAGCCTCTTTTAAGGAGAAAAGGGCTTTCTACTCCCATAAAGGGTTAGGAGTCTGTGGAACCCGCAGCGGCAGTTCTACTCAATGGCAGTGAGGGGATTTGTGATTTAAGCCTCCATAGCAGTTCACTTCTTAACTGTTTTGCTGAAAAAGAAGAAACGCAGACAGCTGCCCTCTGATATTTTCCTCCTCCTCCTCTTCCTCCTCAGGAGCTGCTCTTCGGAGCTGAGGGGCGGCGGTGGCTCAGTGGTAGGGTTTACATCTCCCATGATCACCCAAACCCAGTCCTTGTCGTATCCCATTGCCCACTATCCCGCCGCCCCCACTCAGCCAGGGACCCAGGCAGGTTCCTCCTCCACCATCAGCGCTCCAGCTGTGACTCGCCGGAAGTTGACACATGGCTCGGGCCAGAGTGGGGTATGCAGTTCATTGGAGCACGGGATGAAAGGACATCCCTCAGTCTAGTCAGAAACTCTTTGGAGCCACCCCAGCTAGGGGGCCAATTACTAACATGGCTACAGGCACATGCTCTCCTCCTCAGCCTTCTACTGGAATTGGGTGGTGCCTACAGGCCCTGCCAGCCTTTGGGGGGCAGAAGGCAATCCAGGGAGCTCTGGTTCTCCCTGGTCCATGAGAGCCATGGGCACAGCAATACCCAAAATTGCACGGGCAGCCATTTCTCCTGCATCCTCAGGGATGACCACGTCCTTCCTATGGCTTCAGTCCCTGAAAGTGTGCTTACATCTCTGGAAGCAAAATGAGTCTTAATTACTTCATCTAAGTCACCCGCCAGGCAACCTAATCAACGGCTCCCTAATTAACCTACCCGAATGGCAAGTCTTAGATGGAGAAATGGAACACAATTCTGCTTTGGTCTGCCTATCAGGGCTGCCACAGCCCCAAGGCAACACTGTGGTACCTGTTCCAATGACGGGGCCAGAAAAGCTAGTTTAGAAGGGAAGTGGGAGGAGGGGGGAGAGGGATAGTGTGGTGGCCATATCAAGGTTCCAGATGGATCAACAACACAAATCACATTTGCTGGATAATTACAAAATAAAAAATGTGTCTATCACAAATATTTGCACATGGTTCCCAACCAAATGATCAGCATGAAAAAGCATTTG